TTAGTCTAACTCGGTGTTAGACTAACTCATCTAACAATGAGTTAGTCATAACTCATTGTTAGATGAGTTAGTCTAACTCGGTGTTAGACTCAGTTAGACTAACTCATCTAACAATGAGTTATGACTAACTCAGTGTTAGATGAGTTAGTCTAACTGAGTCTAACACTGAGTTAGACTCAGTTGGACTAACTCATTGTTAGATGAGTTAGTCTAACTCGGTGTTAGACTAACTCATCTAACAATGAGTTAGTCTAACACTGAGTTAGACTCAGTTGGACTAACTCATTGTTAGATGAGTTAGTCTAACTCGGTGTTAGACTAACTCATCTAACAATGAGTTAGTCATAACTCATTGTTAGATGAGTTAGTCTAACTCGGTGTTAGACTCAGTTAGACTAACTCATCTAACAATGAGTTATGACTAACTCAGTGTTAGATGAGTTAGTCCAACTGAGTCTAACACTGAGTTAGACTCAGTTGGACTAACTCATTGTTAGATGAGTTATGACTAACTCAGTGTTAGATGAGTTAGTCTAACTCGGTGTTAGACGGCTTATTTATGTCATGAAGCCACTTTTCAGAAGAATGACTTCAGCTGTCAGTCAACGTCAGTGGGTGGGACCTGCACGCCCACACCCAGTGTTAATCTTGTTAATCTTGTTAAATTAAAGAACTAAAACAGCGAGTCCTCCCGTGCGCACTCGTGCGCACTCATGCGCGCTCCTGCGGCGCTGATCGATTTTTGTCAGTCCATCACTTTTTGTCACGACGCCTGTATCTTCTGAGAACGTAGTCCTCTCAGTTTGATCTGCTGAAGTTACCTGAGCTGAACGAAGTTCATGCAACTCTGCCATCCTTTGGCAGCACGATGGATCAGTGGTTAGCACTGTTGCCTCACAGCAAGAAGGTCCTGGGTTCAATCCCCGGTTGGACCTGGGGTCTTTCTGTGTGGAGTTTGCATGTTCTTGTCGTGCTTGCGTGGGTTTTCTCCGGGTTCTCCAGTTTCCTCCTACAGAGCAATAACATGACAGTTAGTCTGCTTCAGGTCCAGGTCTTCCTTTAAAAGAGATCTGTGATCTCGGTGGGATTTGCCTGATTCAATAATAAATAAATAAATCCTTCATGACTGTTAACTTGGCAAGTCGCAGCTAGCTGCTATGCTAGCTGCTATGCTAGTTGTACCAGTGAGCAGGAAAACTAAAGGATGTGAAGGATCAGCCAGTGGGCATGAAGGTCCAGCACACTGATGTTGATTCACAGCTGAAGTCATTCTGCTGAAAAATCACAATTATGAAATAAAATAATAAAAATGATCATTTTTTCTTATTTCATAATGCTTTATTTAATTTTGAGCATTTTGGTGTTCCATATTAGATTAAATTGTTAAAATTTTCAGAATTTCTGAAACAGTTGAATAAAGAAGGATCTGGTGAATAATTTAAGGGCCTACTAGTGATTCAGAAGCTACTGAGTCTTTGGTTTCTATGGTGATTCCCGCCTTTTCTGGGGAGCAGCGGGAAAGAAAGGGGGAGGAGCTCTTCAAACACAAAATAACAATAAAACAAACTGTTGCTGTAGGAAAACTTGAATTCTTACAGAAAAATCTCTTGAAGTGTAAGAAGCAGAAAGGTTTTGTGAAAACAGTTTCATGTTTTTACATATATAACGTGTTTAATAAGTGCAAAGTTTGTGGGTATACAAAAGTTTAGCAAAGAATCGGCTGAACACTGCACTTTGAATATTCTGTGGTTAAATCGGTAGAAATCTTAAAACTTATCAACGTGTTAGTTCAGACATGTGATGTCCAACGTTGTCATAATCCACGTTAAATCTGCCGAGTCTTAAGTTTCAGATCTCCAAACAGGGCTGGGTTCACCACGGGGTCATGCTAAAGCCCCCTGGTGTCTACGGGGGCCGTTTTAGTTTTTAATGAGTGTTTACGCTGAACGATGTTCTGCTGCGGAGTCGAAGCCAACTGCACTTTCTCAGGTCTACAACAGCGTGCTGGTTGGTTTTCCTCACGTTTGCTAACGTTTGAATCAGCCAAGAATTTGGTGCAAACCGGGAGAAAAACTAACAAAGAAGCTCTGGAATGAAATATAAACAGAACAAGTGGGCAAATAAGTGGTTTTGTGTAAAAATAGTGTCTGAAATCAAAGTGACTAAAATATATTTGAGCATTTGGTTTTGAGCTCAAAGAGACTCTTTAATGCGTCTTCATGACGGCTGCCTGCATCCAAATCCGTGAACAAACGCCGGGTTTGGATCTCGTCGCAGCGCTTCGATTTCTGGCCAGGACTTCACCTTCCGTCACAAAAGCGTCTAAAGATGAGCGCGGCTGACGCGCTCAGCCCACGGTCACCGCCGAGCAGGAAGTGGATTAGGCGTTTTAATTACGGTGAGATTTCGCCGCGGTGGTTGTTTATTTTGGGATCATCCCTGGAAAGATAACGCGAGCC